TGCATTCTGGCGACGTTTATCCTCACGGACACAAACCGATGTGCTAAGTAGGTCTTCCTGGAGACGTTGAGTGCTCGTTTGTTACTCTCCTGTGTGTAGAAGTTGAGATACGAAAATATTTGTACACACATTCTCATTCTGGGCGACTAAAGTCGCTCATGGCACTGAGAGGGTTAACAGGGAGAGAAATTTGAAGAGAGTAGTTGGGTGGACACACCCATTCCCACAGCACTGCAAACCGAACCGATTCCTTTTATGTACAACGTTTCGTCACAATTGCCATCGTCTGGTACGAAAAATTGTTGGTTTCAAGACGGCGAAACAGAGACTCGCAATGAAGGTCCAGTGCCCATCGCATGTTTTGCGCATGCATTGTATGGACGAATAACTCCCCCATGGAACAGAGCAGATGTGAGAGGTGCGCACTCTTGTTTATGTACGCTTGATGAGATGTCTATCACTATTACACTCTCCAGTATGTGTTTTTGGTGTCACTAGTGACACATGTTGACCGTGAATATGTTTTTCACCAGATACTGCACTACACACACTGATGTTTATAGGCCATTCACACGACGTCCAAACTCACTTTTATCGTACCGTTTCCAAGGATATTTACTCGGATGCAATAAACTTGCATTGCTTGAACAACGGAAAATTTTAAATTTAACATTTCCCGGTATTTTCAATAGGTCACTAGGGATACATTGACGGTTGTAAAGTTTGCCCAGCACCGTGTGAACTGGATGACGGTTTGCCAGTGTTATCTTGGTCACACACGTGCAAGTGTTTACACGTCGTGTGAATGGCCTATGCATACCCCTGGTTGTGTTTTCTCATGTACAATGCTTGCACTTGTGGTTATCACTAGTATTCCTTAAGTTCACCTTATAGGGGATTCACACACACACAGGTAAAACCACGGTTATGGGAAAGTTGTTATGGAAACTATGGTACTGGGGGAAAGGAAGAACCTTTCGGGAAAAAATTGGCAAAGCCGTGGCCGTGGGCCTCAGGGCATTTGTTAAGGGAAAAATCCCGTCGCCATACGATGCGCGTGTGTAGATCTTGTCTTTGGCGAGAACTCTGAACCCGTAGTTGTACGGGTGCATCGCAACCTGCATTTTCAGACAGTGCCCTCGGAAAATCGTGCACAGAACGTACTACAAAAATGCAGTTACAGATCATTTTTTAATTGCCCCACCACAAATCCATTGCCAAACATACGGCCAAGGGAAAACTGACCACGGGTGTGAACGGCCCCACTCTGTTGACCGAAGGTCTGAACTTTTACCTTGTCCCGTGACCTCAGGTTTCCTCGTGAGTGTGAATCCCCTATTTTAGGATCAAACGGACCCATTGTCATTTGTGACTTCACTCCCTCGAACCCAGACCCTGATTCTGTGGAAAAACAAGTTTCAATACTTCAGATGGGAGAATCCGACTTCACATTGTTTTTCGGCGTGGTTACGTCAAATTCTAGAATATTTCAGCAAGTGTATTGCTTTGTCGGAGAGAAGAGAATGATGTTCATGCGTTTGAAACCCAAAGTCCCGTTTCCATACGACAAGCGTTTTTTTAGGTGATGAGTTTTGGCTTGTTCTGGTCGGGTCGCAGTGCCGCAGACTATGCCATCATCATCAGCGTCGAACAACTTCTGGCCATTTGACATTTCCAGGCGTTGAGACCCTTTCGTCTTCCTCCATGAGCAATTGTTTTGCGCCAGCATACCAAGTTATAAGCAATACCATATGCGCACGGTCCGCTCAGTTCGAGTGATGAGGCTTTGTACTTGTGCACTGTACACCATACTGTACTGTGCAGTCGTCTTGAAATTTTCTCGCTTCTCCCATTTCACCCATTCATTTGTGTTTATAGCGATAGTCCGAAATTGTTGCACTTCAAATCACTATCCCTAGGTAATGGTTTGGCGAAATTGAATACTACTTGCAGATTTCTTATATTCTGTACTCTAGAGAATTGATTAACCCTTTCACTGCCAGCTGAACCCTGAAGGTGACAAGGCGCTCCCTGCCAGGCTGTCAGCTGAGCAGTACACCCCTCCATGCCAGGCACTTTTTACCTCCAGCTCAAAAAATCGAAAGGCCAACTTTTCCTGGAGTTTATGGTACTTTCTGTACCGACTATCGCTTTCCAAAGTATACATCGTAGGTAGACAACTCCTAAAGGAAGCCATTGCCGTCGAAAAAAATTGCCAAATCCGAAGTACAAACGTGCTGCACATAAATGCGTGTCATGTCATGCGAAAGTGCGCCGCATGCGCTGCATACACTATGTACACGATCGGCCCGGACACTGGCGAAGTAAAGTTAGGGACCATCGCAAAAGTTCGCAGAAGCCCCTGAAACGAAGAGCATACGTTTGGGGGGGAGGGAGTCGTGTCGAAAATCGCAAACCGGGCTTCAATTCAAAAAAGTATTGACGACATGTAGGAGCTGATATAGATTAGCATGCCATCACAGCCGGCGTAGATCGCTTGTCAGGACGCGTAGTCCATTCATGCAACTGCGCGTGTCGCGTAGCTGGCTGCCTGTACACTGTGTGTAGTCTAGTACCAAGAGTCCATAAAACGCGTGGTTTATGGACTAGCAGGGGTTCATAGGGTTTATGAACCCCTGCTGTGTAGTATATTATAATAATTATTATGTGTGCAGCATCCAAGTGAAATAATGAAGCCCATATTGTGACTGTCGTTTCGTTTGAGGGGGGAGGGAGGGGGGTCAGGCCCGAAACTCACGGTCTTCGTTTCGGGGGCTTCTGCGAACTTTTGCGATGGTCCCTTAGTTAGTTGTTCGTTGTTTTGGAGAGAGAAGCAGATCCTTTTTTCGTTCGCTGGGATTGAAAGATATGCCAGTGGACAGGAGAGCTATAATACTGGAAGCAGAAGAGATAACTTGCGGAATCTTCTCTGTCTTCGTGGCAACAGGACTTCAGTTGCGAGAGACTTTCGTCCTGTCGTTGCGGACGGAATTCTTGTTGCTGCCACCAGAAAACTCGGAGAACGAAACGTTCGTAAGTCGTTTGGTGAAGCGGATCGTGTCGGTGAACAGCTGCGGAATGTTCTGCCGCCGTGGCGGTCGTTTGTTCTCCCGATTAGCAGCAGTCCAAATACTTTTCAACTTTGGAGAGTGAAGCACTTCCCTGTTCCGTTGACAAGCGCGGCGTTCGCGGGTGTTGCACTTTCGCATCAGCTTGCAGTAGATCGTCAGGTATTGAGCCAGAGGTAGGTATCGTTGTAGAAAGAATATAATTAGGTTGTAGCTGACATACCCGTAGTGTCTCTTCACCGTGCTGGTCGCCATGGTAACGTGGTAGTTCTTAGAAAATTTTACTTCTGGACCCAGTGAACGCCGCCAGCGCTGTTTCCATCAAGTTTACAGTGAATGCATCCCCGAGGAATCCAGCGTCTGGTTGTCTCTACCCGTGACTCCAACCGCCTATCGCAACGGATAGCCGCCTGGAGTCTTGGGTACTGTAAAACGACAAACTTTCGCGGCGGCCAAATTCAGGCCAAATTTAGCGTTTTAGCGTTTTAGCAAACTGGACCAGTTAGCGGCGATTAATTTTAGCGATTTTTACCTTCCACCGAAAATCTTCAAGAATTTTATTTTACTAAGACTCGGAGTGCTGAGGTGCAGAGTGCATGAAGAATGTCAGAAGAGAAGAAATCAAAGAAGGAATCAAAGATAATCATAAGGTGAGCACTAGTACCGTAAAGTCCGCTGCAAACGCCCACTTCGCAGCAAACGCCCACTTCGCTGCAAACGCCCACTTCGCAGCAAACGCCCACTTCGCAGCAAACGCCCACTTTGCTGCAAACGCCCACTTCGCAGCAAACGCCCACCCCAGGGTGTCCATACTATTTTCGTCTTTTTCAGGTCAATATAGTTGTAGAAAACTGACACGAAGGTCGAATGCGTACGAAAGCGGCTGTAATGCCTACAAACTGCCCATGTCTTACCAGGAGGCTCTGCAAAGCGATTGTCATTATCTTGCTGCAAAGAAAAACTTCTGTCGAGAATTCCTTTCATTCAATAAATGAGTCGTCTTTGTGGTAGTTCGCTCTCCATGTGGTAATGCGGTAGAATCCATCTAGTTTTCATGACATTTCTGCTGTGCACCATGTCGCGCTTTCAGAACGGAACAGTGATTGTTCTGACGAAGCGTAATTCAACCACTTGATTGCTCGCAGTATTGCAGTTGCAATTCGAACAGGGTATGTCACCGAAGCTACCCCTACAAAGTCGTTGCTAACTTGTTGAAAACTCTGAAGTGCTCGAGAAAAAACACTTGCTTTGAGCGTTGTGTGATTTGGAAATGATGGCTTGAAACACCGTCAGAAGTGTATTTGGTTCCTGCAATACTCTGTTCTTCGCTACCTTATTATTCGGAAGAAACTCCCGTTTGGATTTGCGAATTAAAATAGCCATCATCATAATATCACTACGAGCTAGCTCGTGGCTAGTGCCCAGAGCGATTTCGAAACCAGGAAAGAGGACATAGTTTACCGTAGCAAAGCGCTCTTCGCACTACGGTGTGAGATGCACTTTCGTACAGTAGGGGTGACAGTGCATGGGGTCGGTGTGTACAGGCCAGCAGATCTTGGAAAAATGGGGTGGGCGTTTGCAGCGGACTTTACGGTACTGGGAGAAAGGATGGCGTTTTCGAAGAGGGATCTTCGGAAGACTTTCTCTTCGAACGGCTGAGCCACTGCGACACTAATGGCGATAAAATTCAGAAGACTTCTTCGAGCAGTACAACACTAACTAAAATCTACGCAACAGCAAGCTGGCCAAACACTCCAACAAGTTCAACAACCCTCTACACAACACTGAGACATTCTCCAGTTGATTGTTTTATTCTCTTCTGCAATTCTGGTTCAAGTCGCCGTACTCCAACGACAACTAGTAAGACTAGTTTTGGTATGTTAGGGGCCATCTGTAAATATAGATTTGTATTTATGGATTCTCCACAGGCTTTATCCTAAATCGAGGGAGTCTCTAGATATTTGTATAGAAACGAAAACTAGTCGTTTAGGGGAGAAGGGGTTGAGCGCCTGTTCGTTTCTTAAAAAATATCGATGCACAGTTTGTATGTGTGATCACGTCCAGAAGAAAAAGAAAAAAATATCGATGCTATGTACCGTTTGTATGTGTTCGTTTCTGAGGTAGGGGGAGGGAGGTTGAAGACAAATGACTAGTTTTCGTTTCAAAATAAGTATCGGTATTTACGAAGGTCCCTTACTTTCCGCAGCTGCACGCTTTGGACTGTAGCCATGCAAGCAATGATCAGCGCTAGTCCAGAGTCTGTGCAGTGTATGTACAGACAGTGCACAATCGATCATTGAAGCATCGCGTAGTACATGATTGTACATATTTCACATTCGCGTGTCAAACTTTCGTGATTCGGCCCTGCTCGCGAAAGTCGCGGAAGTTATTCGCTCGCGAAAGTTTGTCGTTTAACAGTAATAGCTAGGCATCAAGTCTGAACCAAATTCCATGCTCCGCGCAATGAAAGTTGACGGGAAAGGGGAAAATACTCGCACCGACTCTGGGAGGTGGAAGTGCGTGAGAACCGATTTCTTCCCCACCGCTCGGCAAAAATCGGATGCGCATTTTCAACGACGCTGGTTCAATTTTTTTCAAATGGCAACCCATACTTCTGGCAGCGTATTTCGATGGGTATGGACATCTTCCAGGGCCCCGTGGCCGTCTATCACGGCTAAACATCTCCAATATTCGAAATTAGAGGGCCAAACTGGGTGAGGTCTGCCTGTCGACGGAAGTCGACAACAGCACTGGGGAATGCATGTTTACTCGTCGACGCAAGTCAACAATGTCACTTGAAGTGCATGAATGCGCTGTCGACAGTGGCAGTGAAAGGGTTAAGACTAAAATCGGAGCATTTGGAGCGAGTTTGAAAATTGACTGAAGTCACTATTGCCATAAGCAAATTTACACATGCGCTCAGCATCACGCATGCTGGTTCAGTACCCCGGTGAATGGTCGCTTTCTTTGCATCGTATCTCTTTCACGGCATGCCAGGGAAGGCTGAGAAAGTAATCGTGACTAATTTCACGGCAGTTTGTGCGCAAACCAGTCCCTCAAAAATCCATCACGATGTTTTTGTTTACTGAGGAAGTAGATGGAAAACCACTCGTTTGAGGGGCTACCGACCGACCTCCGGCCTGGCTATCCCCCTTTGAGGGAGATCTCCTGACCAAAGAGAAAACGAACTTGGCAGCTCTGAAATAGAGTCAAACCTCTTTAGGACGAACATCAAGGGACCGATGATATTCGTTCGCAATAACGGGAGTTCTTCTTTTCCATATGTTTTACCCGGTGAATACACAGGGTTTTATCCAATACAGTTTCGAATGCTAGTTCTTCTTAGGCAAACATTTGTTTTATCAGTGTTCTTCGTAACAAGGTTTCACTGTACATGAAGTGCAACCACTGCAACTGCTTGTGGCTTAGCACCACAGCACATACCGTGCTTTCCGGGGTGTCGGCTGCACTTTGAAATGCATCCAAAAAACATCCCTGCGGCTTATAAATAATCCGAATGCTGGTTGTGCTCTACAGCGCTCCATGCATATAATGAGTGTATGATGTCATTCGACTGTTTTCATGTACTGAAATCCATCATTCCACTTGCACAAAGCTTCTACATGTCAGTTCAGAGTGAAGGACAAACTAGGCCCTTTTGCTATAACCTCAGTTGTTCTTCTTAAATTGTTAACCCTTTGACCTCGAACCACAAGTTAAAGGTCATTTTTGAACACGAGTTTGCTCGTGCGCAACCGTGCCAGTTTGTGCATTGTCGTAACTCCATTGTCCTTTCTTCGATCGCCAAGAATGAGGACTTATCGGAAAGTTGAGAGAATAAGCTTCCCAGCCGTGTGTCGTATGATCTGGCGTGATGAAGATTCACTGAGCGCTGAAGAGCGAAACATGGATGCGCTTGAATTTGTTTGGAAAGGGACGTCGCCTGTGACTCATGGTTGCATAGCGCATGCATAGTGGAGGCCAAATGAATCGCTTGGGCTTCAGGAACCTGCAGGGCTGTGATTCACCGTTCTACATTGAGTAAAACTTCAGAACCAATGACATTTGTGGATGTGGGCACAGTATCTCGCTCAGGCGCAATAGGGCAGCTCTCAAAAGACGTGACGGCGATTCTGTTGCTCCTGTGGAGTACTTAGTGGCGATACCTGGCGAGAGGAGATCTGTAGCTTTCCAAAGAGACCAAGATGGAGATATTCCAAATCTGGTGCGTGAAATTAGATAATGTTGAAATGCATACTGGGACTGTTGCGCGATCGATCGCGCACCTCTGCGCGAATCCTGAAGGAATCCATGGATGCCAAAGGGTTAAGCATTTGTAGCGTCTTGTACGTATGTATGTACCGGTACCCATTAAGTTAGATTGTCAAAAAGGTAAAAGTCTGACGTATGACTTACTGGAAACCGTGAAATTATTTCGATGGTCGCGTGGAAATCGCGAAATTTAGACAGCGCGGAAAGGAGATCCGTGAAAGGTTTAGCAAGAATGTCACAGTAGCACAAATAGTAGCGCAATCCAGCGTATTCGTGAAGATTGCCACCAAGAGTTTCCTTGCACCACTGCTGTACAAATAACTCGGACCGAAGTTCATTCCTTTCACATCCTTTTGAAGTTTTCCCTCGACGATCGCACTACTGCTTCTCTCTCGTCACTAGTAGTATGCCGTTCCTTCAGTGGATGCAGAAAAATGATGACAGCAGCACTGCGAAGCAGGCTTCATACCTTCCTCCTGCGGCAAGCATTACCGTCGCTGCAGCAAACTCAGCCGTGGAAAAGGAGCTGGCTACGTTTGAGAAAAAGAAGAGGAAGCGTGGTGACTACCATAGATACACGGATGAGGTGAGAGCCAAGATCGGTCGACATGCCACTGAAAGCGGAAACAAATCAGCTGTTCAAAAGTTAGCTTGTCCTTGCTTAGCCTTCTTTGGCTGAACACCTCTGCTTTAAAATTTTCAAATTCTGCAATCGCAAAATTAAAACCTCGCAAACCTGTCCGGATTCTGAAAACGCGAACTAAAAACGCCGCGAAAATTTCACGCTTTACAGTATACCTCACCACAAAAATACGAATTTTGGGACTGAAAAGCGGCACGTAGCTTAGACCCTGGGGGCTGGGGAAAACGAATGTCGCAATCGACCCGTGTCTGATCCTGTGCATCAAGCACTAAATGTTGTACCACCCGACTTTGTAGGATATCACTGGACATTAACCTTTTTCGTACTTGGCCACTTTTCTCCTGTGAAAAAAGGGGCCACACACGGTGCCACACACCTACACACACACACACACACACACACACACACACACACACACACACACACACACACACACACACACACACACACACGTACACATGCCCGAGCACACACACACACACACAGACACATAAGCGCACGCACACACACAAATGCATGCATGATGAGATGCGAAATTGAGGTCTGTGGGTTCTGGCTATGCCAATCGTCTACTCTGTCTATCATAACTTGGGGAATAAAAGTAAATTGATCAACTCATTTCTGGTGTTCATGTGTGTGTGTGTGTGTGTGTGTGTGTGTGTGTGTGTGTGTGTGTGTGTGTGTGTGTGTGTGTGTGTGTGCTGTGTTTCTGCTTGGGAACAATCAACGAAATGAAGAAAGAGGAACTTAGAACAGGTGGGTGCCAATCTGTCTGCTCGATTTGAGAACTTCTTCGTAGTAATGATTTTTGGTTATCAAAGTCTTCAAGTATGAGATATTAGAGAAAAACAAAGACAGAGATTGTGACAGAGAGAGGGAGATAGATAGATAGCTCATGTGGGGTAGTGCCTTTGCTGTTTGCGTTATGCAAAGCTCACTGACTTGTCAGTTTGAGCACTCTGGCAAGGTACGTTTGGGTCTGGTTTAAATCTGGCTTTGGAAAAAATATTTTTCATTGCTACCAGGTTCGGGCTCATTTTCTCTGTCCTGCGCTGATGAGTCCACAAAGGACTTCACAGTTTTGTCCGCAGATTGATTAGATAAATAGACCAAAGAGTGGTATAATTATTTGATAAGATACTTCATTGGTTGCCTGATGATCGTAGTAATACGTGAAACTCAGAGTTGTAACAAAGCTTTCAATCTCTCTCTTGTGTAAGATACAAGTACTTCATTAGAAATATTTACGATACTTCTCCAGACGTTTCGTTATTCTGAACAACATCGTCAGTGGATTTTTGGATGTCTTTCTTTATCCACTGAAGAAGTGTTTCACACAACGAAACGTCTGGAGAAGTATCGTAAATGTTTCTACTGAAGTATATTTATTTATCAAATATACCACTCTTTGGTATAGAAAGAATACTTTTTTGATATTACAATGAGAGTGGATAATCAATGGCTTGTCCACCAACTCTTAGATAGATAGATAGATACAAAGGAGTAATTTTGGAAATTGCCGGCAACCATAATTATAGCGTCTGTGTGATACTGGCGTTATTCGTGAATCGTGTAGAGTAATATGGGCCGCGATCAGCTAAAACATGTCTTTGGGGTTTCGTAAAAAAGTTGGGAAATGACGAAATGAAAAAAAGTTTTTTTGGAGCGCGTTCACTCTGCACTTCATTCATGATGTTGCGATCATCTTCTCAAATTTTGTTCAAACACTTGTTTGGCGGTCTAGTTCAAGTAGCTGGCGAGAAAAGACTGACAATGTCCGCATCTAGTGATACTAGAGCAGCTCGCAGGGCCAGACGATCGCTGTGCATGGCCCAGGTTTGTTCAGGTGCCTGCAAGTCCGTGGCGTCGGGTCTGCAGAGCGACGCTGACAATTTGTTGGGATCTCCGTGATGTTGATGTCGACAGCGAAGCTGAATCGTCCCCGTCGTCTCCAGTAGCGAAGAGGCACAAGTTGTGGGGGCAGCGAACCGGCTGCCTTACGACGTTACTTGCGTTCAGCTCTCATGAGTCGTCTGACGCAGTCTCAGAAGCGCAGGCGACGATCGAATGTGTCACTGCCAGAATCGAAAGAGTATGCAAGTGCGACGCCGCCCAGAGCATCGTGTTGCTTTCCAGGAAGAACTTGGGCCATGCCTTTGAACTGATGTCGTTGACATGGTCAAGTCTGTGTCAACATCTTTAGTTCCGTTGTATTGTGCTCCGCCACAAAAGCCACTAAGTAATAGTTTGTCTCTTTGTGTCAGACTGTGCGAAAACTGTCATTTTTTATTTCAAAGTACATATTTTGAAAGCGGTGTTTGGGGCACTTGTAGACTACTTTTCTGCCCTGTATCACCTTCAAGAGGTCAACTAAGGTCCCAAGAACTGTTTTCTGGAGGAAAACAAAACTTGAAAAATTTCACTCTAAGACATGTTTTAGCTGGTTGTGGCCCATATCAATTTAAGCACCAAGTATCACACATGATCATATTCATAGTGATCAGTCTCAGGTATTAGTATCAGTCGTCTGATTGCAATAGCATGAAACTTTGAGTTATGAAAAAACCAAACTGGACCACTTTCTGTCCTTTTAGTTAGATAGGTAAATAGATATAATTATACCCAATACTGTATGCTGTATACATAGTCAGAGAAACAGAGAGATAGAGAGACAGAGAAACAGAAACAGAGAGATAGAGAGACAGAGAAAAGGGGCGCGTTGGGGGGGGGGGGGGGGGGTGGAGGGAGGGTGAACAGGAAGAGAATAAGCAAAGGGGGGGGGGGGGGCTCTCAATAGACCAATCCCGAAAAGATTGTCTGGGTTCGAAAGGGGGCATGTCAACTGAGAGTACACTGTACAACACATACATTGCACTACCTGATCAGCATGCGGCACAGGACGTATTTGATAGTTCGCGTGTGAATGCGAGGGTAAGTACACGATTTTCTCGTTAGTTGCATGCAAGAGAGACGATGCGACAGAAAGCGAAGCCCTTTGTAGTTTTCTCTCTCGCACTGGTAATGGTCTGCTGTTGGAGTTGAAATGCTAAGACATAATCCTTGTTTCGCTCTTCTGTGTAGTGTGAAGAGGTCAACGAACAGGTAGAGCTCACTTTGATGAAGTAGGCAAGGCTGTGAGCGCTGTGGCTCAAAGCGATAGGCCCTAAATCTTACGAGATATTTCGAGTGCTATTGTTTGTTGCGAGCGCTTCGTCTTCGATGAGTCCTGCCTCTTTCCTGGCAGCTGCCCTCCTATAGGACCAACCACGAAGTGACTGTACTCATCTGCAGCCGATCAATGTTATATTGCACAAGAAGATATCGTTTTCGCCAAGCCAGTGCCCCGCCAAAGACCATCGCCGTGTCACACCGTCTGAACGAGTTCATGATGCGAAACATCATTCGCGCGAGCGTGATGAAGAACTATTTCGAAAGACAACAATGTTGTCATAGTCTTTACCCCCGGGACGACAACTATGTGCACGTCCTGCAAGGGGAGAATGTCACCAGCGACATCAACGAAGACGACGGCAGTATTTCGGAAACCTGGAGTCAGCGGAGGTCGTCAAGCTCCTCCGCGACCCGGTACATGTACAGTATACTGGTATACATGTAGGTGACATGTCGACACGAGCGTGCGGAAACACAGCATACACTGTAGTAATGTTGCGAGAGTTTGCGGAAGGAGTCCAAGTCGGGAAATCCATCAGCTCCAAAAGCTACCTGTAGGTCACTGGTGGGCGATGAGACTCCAGCTTCAGACTACAACAGTCAGGACTTGTAAATAGTTGAACTTTGTGAAGCAGCAGATCGAGAAGTTAGCTGAAATCGTAGCTGTTGCAGTATGTCGGCGCTACGTAGCTTGCATTTTTTACGGAGAGTCGATCGCCACGCGAATGTTTCTCTCCTCACCGAGAGCTATCTGGCCTCCAAACTCCGTCAGGGTCTGCCTAAGGTACCGAAGGTCCTTTGACTAGCTGCTGGCAGGACTCCATCAAATCCTTTAGCTTCAGCTCGGCGAGCAAAAGTCTCTCTCCCCTCCGCCATGAGCTGACACACACAAACTGAATACAAAACGATGCACTTCACACGTGCTGGCTTGCACGCGTGCCCCCTTTCACGAACCCAGACAATCTTTTCGGGATTGGTCTATTGCTTTTGTGACTGGTAAACTCTGTTGTACTTGAAGCATTCTACCATTTCCCATGATAACATGTACAAATGATTGTTGCTGCTACTGCTGTTGCTGCTGTTCGTGCTGCTACTGCTGCTGCTGCATTATTATTGTTTATTGCAATGCAGCTGCTGTGGCTGAGGACATCATTGGTGGTAAGGACGAGGCCAGCGTGGTACGCGTGCGTATGTACCTTGTCGGCAAGTACGCCACGGGAAAGTCCAGCTTTGTCCGGGCACTGCTCGGTGAAGAGTTCATTGAAAACGCGGACAGCACCGACTCCATTTCCATCCATCGATCCAGACTCAGAATGCATCTCTCCTCTCAGACCGCCACAGGCACACAAGAGGCAGCACAAGTTCTTGTGGATGACAGTCAACATAGTTTCTTTGTCAATCTACTCACAGCTCGCATCCGATCATCTGTAGAACTGGTCCAGAAAATCAAGAAACGTCCGCAAGAATCGATCTTGTCTAAAGTCAAGACACTATTCACTTCATGGCTCACTTCGTCATCTACTGCATCCGCTGTCAACAATGAGTTTGCCAATGTTCCCCACGCTAATGACCTGACCAAAGTGGCACCAGATGTTATCTCTCAAGTTCGCTCGTCTGTCAGCAATGTTGATAGCAGTTCAAATGAAGCGGAAGCAGCATATGCGTTTGTTGAGCTGTGGGACATGGGTGGACAGATGCCGATGTTGGTACAACAAAGCATCTCGTTTTCAGTTTGTGACAGCGTGTACATTGTGACTCTTGACATGAGGTGTGACCTGGATGAGGAGGTAACGGAAGACGTCTACCGTTTCGATGGTCAGGAGATTGTAACTTCCACACCGTTGCCAGGAATGACGCAGGCTGACTACCTTCACATGTGTCTGTCCCTGATTGCTTTGCAGCATAGAGCAGACACACACACTGACCAGCATCACCACCAGCAGCAGCATCAGCAGCAACAGCAGCAGCAACAGCAGCATCAGCAGCAGCATCAGCAGCAGCAACAGCAGCATCAGCAGCAGCCTGACACAGAGATGGGTAAGAGCAGTAGCAGCAATAGCAGCCACCATCATTATGAGGGTAGCACAGCCGTCATGGTGGTTGTTACACATGTGGATCTTATCGACGACAACCAATTAGAGAAGAAGAAGAAAATGTTCTTCACTGCCGTGTCCAAGCTGGCTGAAAGGGCCGGACCCAACGTCAAGGTCTGTGGACCCTTCTTTGTTGACAATCACCGTCTTCAAGATCGCGTATCTCGCCACAGCCAGCTTGCTGAAGCACAGCAAGAGCTCTCTAGAATTGTGTCAGCCTTTCCTGTCCAAGCAATTCCCTTGATGCAAGTGAAGATAGAAGAAGCTATTTCTCTCCACCACAAGGAAATGCTTCGCTATGCAAAGGCTGGGTGCAGTGATGATACAATGCAAGCTACCAGTAGTGATCATCAGCAGCAGCAGCAGCAGCGGCAGCAGCAGAGTTTTGTTAGTATGGACTACCCACAGTTTGTAGACTTTTGTCGGCATGTTAGCGGCAAAGATCTCACCACTGCACAAGTGTCTGATCTACTGCACCGCCTTCAGCAACATGGCACAGTGTTTTGCTGTGACTGCCCGCATCCACTCACTTCAAGTGTCATTTTCCTTGAACCCCAACAGCTGTTACTCAACTTTGTACGCATGATGACCTTCCCTCTGAAGGAGACAGCTTTTCCAAGCACATCAGCAACATTAGTCAGAGAAGTGCAACACTTTCGACGTACGGGAATTGCCAGCGCGAGGTTGATAGAGAAAGTTTGGTATCCTCTCAGCCGTGTTGTCCAGCTAGCTCTCTGTAAATCAATGTGTTACTTCAACTTGGCAGCAGAACTTCAGCCCGCCAGCAGTGCAGCCACCAGCAGTACAGCCACCAGCAGTACAGCCACCAGCAGTACAGCCACCAGCAGAACAGCCACCAGCAGTACAGCCACCAGCAGTACAGCCACTAGCAGTACAGCCACCAGCAGTACAGCCACCAGCAGTACAGCCACCAGCACCGGAGGGTGTGGCAGTAGAGACGGCGGCAGCAGCAACAGCAGCAGCATCAGCGGACAAGACAGATGTCCCGTTGTCACGCCAGGCCTACCCGACCTCTTCATCCCGTTCTGTTGCAACCAGGAAGCATTACGGTTGGTTTTGGAGGATGATGTTCCCTTTAAGCTACCGTTTAACCACCTCAGTTTCCCTGGGATGCTGTTTCCTCCACCACTGTTCGGTCGCTTAGTCACCTACATAATTCATCGTATGAAGAAAGAGTCAGCCAGTCTTCAGTTCACATCCAGTGCGGCATCACTGAATTTGGAGCTTGGTTGTAGTCAAGTATGCCTCTGCTGGACACCGACAGGTGTTCGCTTAGAATGCGCTGCTGATACACCATCCATACTTGCTGATGTGGCTTGGGATATGAAGAGTGCAATTGTTGACTTCACACAAGTTCTCAGCACCCAAGGATACCAGCAGTTCACAGTTGTTGGTGAGTCATTCGCCTGCACTTCCAACTCATGCCAGGATCGCCTGAAGGAATGCAGCAGTCCTGCAGAGGTGCTGGTACACTCGTCGTGGGTGTTGCTGACCAGCTTGCACAAGAAGCATTTCTTGACGGCATATGAGTCGGATATGAACACCGCTCTGACCTTCAAGGCAATGTGTGCTACCTGCAAGGAGAGGGTCATTGTCCCGAGGTCCTTCTGGCCCTGGCTGTGTAAGGATGTGCCATTTGTCCAAGCTGAGGTGAGTTGTGAAGATTTTCTTCCACTGTCTTGTATGGTTTCAGCATACACTTGAAATGTCAAGCTGGTAGAATAGATACTTTGCTGCAATATCTACACCATCATGTGACTGTGATCATGTGACTGTGATCATGTGACAGTGATTATGTGACTGTGATCATGTGACCGTGACCATTTGACAGTGATCATGACCGTGATCATGTGACAGTGATCGTGTGACTGGGATCATGTGACCGTGGTCATGTTCATGTGACTGTGATCATGTGACTGTGATCATATGACAGTGATTGTGTGACTGTGATCATGTGACAGTGATCATGTGACTGTGATCTTTTGATTGGGATCATGTGACCGTGATCATGTTCATGTGACTGTGATCTTGTGACTTTAATCGTGTGACGGTGAGGATTTGACTGATCAAGTGACCGTGTGTCGTTTATTAGTTTTCATTATTTCTTCAAGGAGAAGTATTTTCTTTTCAGCAATACTCAATAAAATTCTACTTGATGAAAAAGCTAGCATAGAATTGCGATGCACTACGAATGGAGGACAATTTTTTTTTTACGGTATACGGATGTGGAATGGGCCTGACTGAACTTTTCTCTTGTTTGTGTTTCTTGCCTGCATATCTTGGGATTTCTAAAATGATTTCAGCAGCCACTAGCAGCACCAGCGGCACAAGCAACAGCAGTACCACCAGCAGCGCCAGCAACAGCAGTGCAAGCAACAGCAGTGCAAGCAACAGCAGTACAAGCAACAGCAGTGCAAGCAACAGCAGTGCAAGCAACAGCAGTGCCACCAGCAGTACAAGTAACAGCAGCAGTATCATCGTCAACAGTAGTAGCATCACAGCCAGCTGCGGCAGGCTCAGTAGCAGCATCACAGCCAGTAGCCACCTCAGCAGTGACCGGCTCAGTAGCAGCATCACAGCCAGTAGCCACCTCGGCAGCGGCAGGCTCAGTGGTAGCATCACTAACAGCATCACCAGCTGTGGCATTACTAGTAGCATCACTGTTAGCAGCAGCAGCAGCCTCAGTAGCATCTCCAATAGCAGCAGGACTGTTAGCAGGAGCAGCAGTCCTTGCTGCAGTAGCACTTTCAGCAGCAGCATCGCCAGTAGAACCACCACCAGCAGCAGCAGCAGCCTCACCAGTAGCACTTACACCTGTATCATCAGCAGCTGCACCTCCAGTAGCACCTTCAGCTGCACCTCCAGTAGCACCTGCAGCTGCAGAAGCAGCGACTACAGGTGTGTACCCGACTGGGTGTTCATAGTGTATTTTAGATACACATTTGACCAATTTAGCACAATAATTAATGACAGACAATCACTTATCCAGCATCACCACTTTGAATAGGACTAATGACTAGCTAGATCTTTGTCGGGAAAAGGTTATTCTTATGAATGACTCCAGGGTCTGATTCTTAGTGGAAATAGCAGTAAACACAAGAGGATTCTGCACATTCGACACCCAACAGGGGCTACGGGATTCTACGAGATTCTACGGAATTCCGTTCATCTGTACACCATGCATTATGCTTATACAGTATGTGTATGTGTATGCTGACGAGTCCACAAAGGATGAATCACTTCTGTCCGTAGATTGGATATGTGTATGTTAGATACAGTGTGTGGTATCTATAAAATTATGCATGACATACTGAAATGGAGCCACATGCCTGTACCACAACAGTGATTTAGATGCCAAGAATCCTTGCCAGGTTAGCCATTGCCATGGTATAAGCATACTTAGATCAACGACTGATGATGTACAGGTCCAGACTGGAGTGATGCACATCAACACTCTAGAACCTGCTGTCTGTGTTAAAATAACATGTACGGCAAGTCATAAATTATTTTTTGTATATTTGTTCATGTGTGTGTGCATCAGCAGCAGCACCTGTACCACCAGCAGTACAATCAGCAGCAGCAGCAGCATCACCAGCATCAGCAGCAGCAGCATTAGCACCCGCAGAGGCAGTTTCATGCCAACGGTCAACATCACCGTAAGCACATAGACTTGTTGTAATTGAAATCATGTGTACATGGTACAGGTATTGCTTGACACCTGATCTCAATCCTACCTTTCATATGCTAATAGCAATGTTACTCAAAGTCCAACTCGGATGGTGAGCCAATAAAATTATGGTGAAAAAGGAAAAGGACAAACCACCAACGTAACCAGATCTCATACAGTCAGCGAGTGCGACAAAATGGCACAACACTGACAAGGAGTACTGAGACATTCGGCGACACTGTTGGTGGACTGTTAGTCATAACTCGTCACATTTTGTCCTTTTCCTTTTTCACCATAATTACTCCAAGTCCCTACCACTATTTTCTTCTCTCTCGATGTCTTTCTCTTTGTCTCTGTGTGTGTGTGTCTCTCTCTCTATCTCTCTCTCTCTCTCTCTCTCTCTCTCTCTCTCTCTCTCGCGCGCGCGCGCGCGCTATCTCTCTCTTTCTCTCTCTTTCTCCCTCCCTCCCTCCTCTCTCTCTGTCTCTCTCTCTGTCTCTCTCTCTGTCTCTCTCTGTCTCTCTCTGTCTCTCTCTGTCTCTCTCTCTCTCTCTCTCTCTCTCTCTCTCTCTCTCTCTCTCTCTCTCTCTCTCTCTCTCTCTCTCTCTCTCTCTCTCTCTCTCTCTCTCTCTCTCGCGCGCGCGCACGCGCGCGCGCGCTATCTCTCTCTTTCTCTCTCTTTCTCCCTCCCTCCCTCCTCTCTCTCTGTCTCTCTCTCTGTCTCTCTCTGTCTCTCTCTGTCTCTCTCTCTTTCTCTCTCTCTGTCTCTCTCTCTCTCTCTCTATCTCTCTCTCTCTCTCTCTCTCTCTCTCTCTCTCTCTCTCTCTCTCTCTCTCTCTCTCTCTCTCTCTCTCTCTCTGCCTCGCTGTCTATCGCTCTCTCGTAAAAGCAATAAAGCAATTTAACAACCACACAACAAGCCGACCTGTTTGGGAGCTATTACGCGTTGTATTATCAGGGCATAGGCAACAATTGCCGCATACAGTATGCAATACTATGGTCCAATGCCGTAGTATCGCGAGCACCAATGTGCGTTAGACTGGCCAATGCCAGGGCTAATGGGGGCAACAATTGCCCGGCGTGTCAATACACGAGCGTACGGTAGGGATGCACTTGTGAGCACATGTAGGCGCACTTGGCTCAATGCCGGCCTGACCCACGATCCCTACCGTTCTTAGGCGTGTCAATACATGAGCATACGGTAGGGATGCACTTGTGAGCACATGTAGGCGCACTTGGCTCAATGCCGGCCTGACCCACGATCCCTACCGTTCTCCCAAAAATACAACATGACCCAAACAGGAATTATCGGCATTACTATAGTTATAGTAGCATTACTATAGTTATAGTATAATATGTATATCATATGTACACTACAGCTGTTGCTAGGGCCGTCCAATGCGGCTACCCATTAGCATAACGGGCAGAGACTAGAACAATGCCGCTGGCAATGCTCTGTCTGCGACAGGGGTGCGGACATAGCGGAGGTAGGCAGAGCTTTGCCACCTGCCGGCGGTCTTCAGCACATACTCAGGCACGCCAGCTTTGCCTGCCAGCGTTGCAGCGCCTCGTCTGAGGCTGTGGCTGCGCACGTCTTTGTTAGGCAAGGCTATTTGTAGTAGCCTGTTGATGTTATGCGGCTTCAGGAGCGTGCCGTCATCATAGCGATAGAGCGGGCCAGGTGCCGAGCCACGGGCTGCTAGGTAGCTGGTGGCTGCCGTGTGCGGGCATGTCGGCGAGCCTGTCCTCCTGACGCTGATGTCCTGGCCGCTGCCGTATTGGCTCGTCTTTGTCACACGCAGGCGCAGCTCCACGCGGTCTGGGTACATGGTCGCATCGCTGTACTCAAGGCCGGCGCCCCGTGCCGTGAAGGTGTACTCGTTGACTCTGAGCAGCCCGTGGAAGGCCAGAGTCACGGCGCTCCAGAGCATGGCGCGGTTGTGCGGGCTAGGCACAGTGGACTGCAGGTAGTGCTGTACGCCAGCCAGATCGTCCAAAGTTGCGGCCGTTAGCACTTTCCGGACTGCCGTCTGGGATCTGAGCGCCCCCTGCTGGAGCAGCCGGACACGCGGTGAGGCGAAAACATCCAGGCAGAGGCCCTGCAGGACGTGCTGATGTCTCAGCGCCTGGGTGTAGAGTTTCAGAGACGAGCCAGACGAGCCGGACGAGAATTTCCAATTCAGAAAGTTAATCAGGCTGGGCTCCGTCACCGGGTACGGCGCGACTTGCCGTAGGGCAGCAAAGCGTTCGTAGGAACGCTGCACTGAAGCGTACGTTGCGCTGGAGCTGTCTGCCAGGTCGTGACTGATGAGCTCCATGGCTGCGTCATCAACTGATGGAGGGTGGACTGCGCTGGTGGTGTAGGCGCTGCGTCGGCAGTTGGGTTGAGGGTCCGGAAGCGCCGTACCTGCAGACGGGAGAGAGAATCAGCAAGATCATTGCAGTGTCCGGCGATGTGGCGAAGCAGGAGGACAATGTTATGCTGGGCGGCTTTCAATAAGCCGGCCCTGACCAAGTCCATGACCGCTCTATTTGGGGACGTGCCAGAGCGCCAGATGTAGCAGATTGCTTCGTTGTCAGTGTAGAGTAGCACTCGTCTGTCCTCCAACGTGTGTGCCCAGGTACAGAGGGCCAACATCACGGCGTACAATTCTTTCCATTCAATAGTGTGCTCAGCTTGGTCAGGAGACCATGCGCCATAGGACCACTTGCTGCCGAAAACCAGACCGAAACCGTGTCGACCTGAAGCGTCGGTGTACAGCCCGATGTCTTCGGCTGTGCTCCAGGACGGCTCGATAAGGGGCTTCCGACCATTCCATTGGCTGATGCAGGCATCCCACCACAGGATGTCAAGCTTCGCCTCCGAGGGTACGGCTACCGGTGCATCTAGGCTAGGGAGCGTTGCTGCGCTGTCGAACAGGCGTCTGCAGAACGTGCGACCCGCTGGAATGACTTTGGCTGCGAAAGACAGGCTACCGGCCAGGGACAGCAGTTCCCTCTTGGTGCACATCTGCTTCGACAGCCACGCGGCAAGTGCTAGCCGTAGTTCCGCCAGTTTCGCAGCCGGGAGGCGCAGCTCCCAGGCGGCTGTGTCGAGCTCGATACCCAGGAACGTTATTGAAGTTGACGGCGGGCACACTTTGTCCTCTCCGTCGGCCAATGGGATGTTCAGCATGTCAAATACAGCCAGCAGTGTCTTGAATTTGAGCATAGCTGCGGAGTTGGGCGGCTGGACGTGAAAGAAATCATCTAGGTAATGCAGCAAATCAACAATATCGTAATTATTAACTGCAATCCATGCCACAGCGTCGGCAAGTCTGTTGAACAGAAACGGGGAGGATCTGAGGCCAAATGGTAGTACCTTATCGGCATAGTACGAACCTTCCCAAAAAATACCAAGTAGGGGCCAGTCGTCAGGGGAAACAGGGCAGAGCCGGAAGGCGTGCTTCATGTCGACCTTAGAGAGGAGAGCTCCGGGGCCGTGCTGGAAGATGCAGCGTATTGCGTCATCTACCGTAACGTAATGCAGGGAGAATTCGTCAGGGTAAATGCCATCGTTAATGCTAGAGCCGCTAGGGGCAGATAAATGCATGATGAGGCGTACGCCGCCAGACTTCTTGGGCACGATGCCAACGCCAGAACATCGGATATTAGGGAATGGGGGTTGGGAATAAGGCCCGGCCATGTGGCCACGCGTGCATTCAGACTGAAGGTAAGCAGAGACGGCGGCAGGGTTGAGCAATGCGGAAGGGAGATTAGGGGCAATGAGGCGGGATCTATTACCGTGATAGCCAATGCGGGCCCCGAAGCGCATGTCGTGACAGAGAGAATGCACAAAATCGTTATCGGGGTGCTGGGATAGCTCTTCAAACAGCAGGGGAATATTTGTTGGACTCAGTAGAGCGTCCAGCCCCTATATGATGTCCAACCCCTATATAGAGTCCATTGGTCCAAAATCCACTGTACAGAGTCCAAACTTGGAATCAACTGTGAGCTCAAAGTTTAGATGAACATCACTCCCTGTATAGAGTCCAGCCAATTGGCTTCACCCCTATATAGTGTCCATTGGTCCAAAATCAACTATACGGAGTCCAAACTTTGAAATCAACTATAAAGAGTCTTTATGTGGACAACACTTCCTGTATAAAGTCCAGCCAATTAGGCATCCCCTATCCAGAGTTCGAAATTAGACATAGGATCTGCTGTAAGCAGTGAATATTAACCAGAAAACGGCCTCTCCCTTTAATCCTTTACATCATTCACTTCTCAAGATAAAAAATAAGTATTGAGGCGCCACTGCAGCCACTTCATTACATGAAAAACCCTACAAACACAATCCTCAAATCAAGTGGTCTCTTCGCAGACGCTGCAAATTACAATAATTATTATCTCAATCATGTGGTGTTGCCAAATTATTGTGCTCGCACACACATGCACACACCCACACAACGCCAAGAAAATACCTAGAAAAAAAACCAAGAATCGAAAGATAATAATGGAGAGCCAAGGATTAATTATTTTTTTCAAATTATTGTGCGGGCGCACACACACACACACACACACACACACACACACACACAAACTTATACAACGCCAAGAAAACACCAAGAAAAGAGTAGAGACACAATACACACGCAACTCCAACAGCCATGCAAACATCCACCCATTTATACGTAAAGTCAAGAGGGATAACAAAAAATTATACGAAACGAATGCATACGTGGCCGTGGGCGGATGCACGCACGTTTACATACATGTACATGTAGTAGTGTAAGAGAGTAACATAGTGCAGTAGTCAGCATAATGCTAGCACATGCTGAGACTGCAATAGCAAGCTTCACCATTGCTCATGGCCATGCAAATGTTCAGCAGCACTCAGTTCCGCAAGCTTCTGAAGATCAGCACACCTGCAACAATTAGATAGCACAAGGATACGCTTATTACCGTAATGATGCATGGGAGCACACAACTACCAAGTTCTCAACGAATGTGATGCTCAATGAAAATCCATCCACTCAAAGACCTGTGAACAGGTGACGGTGGGAACAATAATCTATTAGTAATACTTATGATGAAGTACGAGGAATAAGATTGTTTGTGCACACTCAAGACGCACAGACACACCACCATACATGTAATGTACACAGTGTTTCACTTCACTGCAACTAAATTGAAATGAGATGATTTGAACAATCTGTACAGCGTTGCCGTCAGTCAGCCTTCCCCGAGATGGAAATGCAATGATTCAATGATTTGTTGTCATGAGGCAGTTTCACTGACACAGTGTCATGTTTGTCACATCAAAACGGTTACTTCATGGAATACGAGTACATGTATTAGCTTGAGAAGCTTTTTCTTGTCATCAGCATACAATAAATCCTCCTCCTACCACTACTAGTACACTGGCACTGCGTTTGTGGATCCCATTGTATTTGACATCATACTAGAGCCTAGTAGAGGAAGAGTGTCGTGGAGTTCACATAATTATCATAGGGATAAAAATACATTTCTCATTAAATAAAATAATATTGATGATAACTAGACGATCGTATACGATTGATGCAAAGTCCTTGCAGTCCTTGAGGACTATTACGAAGTGGTTGATTACTTTTAGGGCATTCATTCAAGCAACATCAAACAAACGCGATACGCTCCTTGAAAAATGGAAAAAAATTCAAGCATATTACGACAGAACAGCTGACTAATCGAAACGAGTCAAGCTTCCTTACCTCAGTCATCGTCCTGCCATGTAGTTGGACAGCCTTTTGACACGGTGGTACAGGCAGCTCTTGTCCAGACAAACAGGATTTCCTTGTGGCGTCGAACGAAAGAGAGTGTCAGTGTATCTGACTCGTCAGATTGGAACTGTGCTGAACTTTTCTCGTTCTCCGCTTTCTGCTTTCACCCCTCGCTCTGATGAAACCGTTCAAACGTCTTACTGGCAGCAATGGCCAGCCAAACAGGGATCCTTGTGGCGTCGAACGAAAGAGAGTGTCGGTGTTCCTGACTCGTCAGATTTGAACTGTGCTGAACTTTTCTCGTTCTGCAATTTCTGCTTTCATCCCGCGCACTGATGAAACGTCTTCCGAGAACCACAAGACGCTTTCCAGATTTGATTTTGAACGTCTCCTTATCCTCCTTGGTTACCTCGAGACAGATTACTGTCAGCAACTGCACAGCAGAACTGGCAGCCATGGCTGAAGTGAAGAAAGGAATGCGCTGCCACGAGGCAAGCAAAACTGAAAAGGTGTTTGTTCTCTTTTGGGCACAACTCACAGGACGGCGTGACTGGATAAACTGGACTCCTGGACCGTGAATAGGGGACTTGTAGAAAAAGTGTACTCCTTATAAGGGATTGCGCGGCAGGATGAAGCTGATCAAAACTGAGTGGACTCCTGGACTCTGTATAGTGGATTTTGGACCAATGGACTCTATATAGGGTGCTGGACATCATATAGTGCATGGACTCTATACTGAGTCCTACATATTTACAGGGGACCAAGGCGCGTGTGAGCTAATTGGAGCTGCGGGGTTGGCCAGCAGAGCATGTGGATTGGCCATGACCGAGGCGGCCGCAAGAGAGGCAGCTGTGGGCGAAGCGGCAGTTGGAGCGGACGCACTTTCCTTGGTTGAAGAGGCGGCATACTTCTTTGTCGACCGTGTCGTTGACGCTGCTGGGCCGAAAGGAACGAGCGTCGTTGCTGCTGTTGGGCCGAAAGGAACGAGCGTCATTGCTGCCGGTGGGCCGAAAGGGACGAAATGCCCGCGCGTCAAATATAATTGTGTATAGGTCCTGGACTATTGCGTCCCACCGCATGGTTGGGTCCGCGGCCAGGAGTGAGCGGAATGATCGGTCATACTCCTGCACGGCCTCAAATCGAAATTTCCGGGCTACTTTCAGGATAATCTGCTGGTACACAAACAGCTCTGGGGCCCTGGAGGGGTGTGCTGTGGCGTAAATCGCGCAGTATGTTGTCCAGGCGTCGAGCCAGGTGTCGATGTCCTCGACCTTCCTGGAGGGCCTGTTGGCCGGTGCTAGGACCACTGCGCCGTGCGAGCTGTCGTGGTCGATCTGGAGAATGCTGCGGCTGGTGTCCCCTTGGGACGGGTTAGGCAACAATGAGCCCAATTCAACAAATTGGCCAGTTCCTACTTTATCGTGAATGGCTTTCGGCACGGTTGCATAAAACGTTCTCTTACCTGCGGGGTTCATTGGCGGTGAGACGGCAGCCGCCAAATGCGGAGCAGGCAGAGCGTCCTGCGGAGTTGCTGGTGCTTGCCGTGGGAGTGCCGCTGCGTGAGCTGGCGGTGGGGGTGCCGCTGCGTGAGCTGCCGGCGGGACTGGAGCTGCGGCCTGATTTCCAAGGGCAGCACGGACCTCCTCCCGGATAATGTCCCTCAGGGACGGAGCAGCAGTTGCCTGGGGTAGGTTCTGCTCGGCTGCCTGAGTGGCCAAGTCCTCGCGCACTGCAGTGAACTCCAATGACTCGAGCAGGCGAGTCAACAGCCTGGGTTTGGTCCCCGTCGTGTCTAAATTGCGGGCCGCCAGTTCTTGTCGCAGCTCTACAGAGCGCATTTTCTTGGCGTCGTTCGCTGACAGAGATTCAGACATGGTTGCTTGGAAATGGAAAGTGCTCAATGCTCAAAAACTGGCCAAGGTTGTCAAGCGATCTGACTGTTGGCGCAGCAAGGATGAAGAAGAAACAGCATCGAGAGCCGGAGTAATGCGCATGCTCCGCGTGGTCCCGTGCCGGAGCGCGGGAGTTTGGAGTGCGTGTTCTGCACGGGCACGTGATGCGCTATGGCAAGTACGTGCAAATTATGTTAGGAATGTAATTGTTGGTGGGTTGCTAACTTCACTTACCGTGCCATGCACGGAAACTTATATATATAAAACTGACTCTGCCGTCATCACCATGCATCAACGAAGTCAAAATTAATTCTTTCCAGAATCAATTTTCAGGTCACTTTCGTCAGTGAAATATCATTTCGACTTCGTTGATGCATGATGATGATGACGGCGGATTTAGTTCTATTTATTTCTTTATGAAAATCCTCTCTTGGCCTTGTCTTCTGACCCTCCGTGATTAACATGAAGATACATGTCGCTTTCATATGTTCTGTCCCTCTTTCAGACTGAAAGTTTTGTCAGACATTTCTGACTTTCGAAACTTCAGCCGAAGCATTGCAGGTTGCGTCAGTCGCCCTAAACGTGGTAAGTATGTTGCTGCCTATCTGTGTAGAATCGAAGACAAAATAAGTACCATATTTTCCGGAGTTATATTCCGCACCCAGATATTTGTGTCACTAAATACATTACATTGTTTGTTGTTATTTTAGCTGTTCCTACTTGCTATGTTTCTATCACCTCTTTACTGTACCAAATAAAGACTTGGAATAGGACAATATACATTATAGCGTAACTTGTAGTCCCTGTGCTTAGACTTGCTGTGGTGTGGGGCAGTGTATTGGGAACGTGAATAGGCTACCGACATGTCTCTGAGAAATGCTGTATTTCTTTATGTTCCCTCCTTGTTCTCCTGTGTGTCCAGAGGACTTTGCCCAAGCCGTTGCAATACTGATTGACCCAGAATACAGCAACGATTTCAAAGACAATATGCAAGACTTTATCGTGAAAAACGACCTTGGCACCACTTGCATACCGGATAATATGCATGGTGTTATCAGGTGGGCCGTGGACAAAGCTGGAACACGCGAAATCACCCTGGCCGAGTTGAAGAAGATAGCGCTAGAGCTGAATCCCGACAAGAAGAAAAAGATTGAGAGAACATTCCAGTGAGTTAAACAAGAATAACTGATTTCCTTGTTATCCAGTATTTCGGTGGGATTGTCCGGGTCAGGGCCAGGGAGAAGGGATGGGGGGGGGGGGGGGTAGTCAAGTTTGTTTGACAAAGTGATGAACGGTCTGTGCTGGGATCCTGCCTGCACCTGAGCTTGTCGTCTGAGCATTGTTTCCCAGTAGCAAAGTCCCTGGTTTGACAATTTTAAACTCGGACACTGATCCAGTAATAGAATGTAAAATGTAAGCTGAAAACACTAATTGGAACGATGCCCTGTGATTGCACTTTCTGACTAAGTATTAACTTGTTACAGCAGTGGTGGATAGCCGTGGCTTCATAACTCCTTTCAATCAGTGTTAGTGGTGGATAGCCGTGGCTTCATAACTCCTTTCAATCAGTGTTAGTGGTGGATAGCCGTGGCTTCATAACTCCTTTCAATCAGTGTTAGTGGTGGATAGCCGTGGCTTCATAACTCCTTTCAATCAGTGTTAGTGGTGGATAGCCGTGGCTTCATAACTCCTTTCAATCAGTGTTAGTGGTGGATAGCCGTGGCTTCATAACTCCTTTCAATCAGTGTTAGTGGTGGATAGCCGTGGCTTCATAACTCCTTTCAATCAGTGTTAGTGGTGGATAGCCGTGGCTTCATAACTCCTTTCAATCAGTGTTAGTGGTGGATAGCCGTGGCTTCATAACTCCTTTCAATCAGTGTTAGTGGTGGATAGCCGTGGCTTCATAACTCCTTTCAATCAGTGTTAGTGGTGGATAGCCGTGGCTTCATAACTCCTTTCAATCAGTGTTAGTGGTGGATAGCCGTGGCTTCATAACTCCTTTCAATCAGTGTTAGTGGTGGATAGCCGTGGCTTCATAACTCCTTTCAATCAGTGTTAGTGGTGGATAGCCGTGGCTTCATAACTCCTTTCAATCAGTGTTTTCCCTAGTTTGCGTTACCAATTTTCTAAGAATACCTAGGATCTGATAGACTGACAAGATCATGCAATAAAACACTAATTGGACTCACCTGAGCTGAAGAGCTTCAGCTGTTCAAGTCGTGTCGTTTGTGCTAACATAGTTTGTGCTAACATCCGACTAAACGTTTTCTCTCAGTAAAAGGGTGTACATTCTTGGACTGTGCAACCATCAAGCCACAATCTAGTCAACCTCGTATACAAGACAAAATCACGACTTCGCCTCTCTCATTTCTATCACTCTTTACAAGATACACATCTCACTGGCAGGCCAATGGGACTAGAATAGTGAGAGATGGTGCTGGTGCGGCCTGCCATGTTCAACCGACTAGAGGTCTCGGCATCTTCAAATGGCAGACACTAGAATTTTCTCCCCCCCCCCCCCCATTGTCTCTGCCTGTCTTTATATTGCAGAATACCATATCTGTCTGCTTGCTGGTGTGTCTGCATATCATTCTCTTACCTTCCCTGCTCTCTTTCCCTCTCTCTCTCTCTCTCTCTCTCTCTCTCTCTCTCTCTCTCTCTCTCTCTCTCTCTCTCTCTCTCTCTCCCTCTCTCTCCCCCCGCTTTCTCTCTCTTGTTGTTTGTCCTTGGTACAGTGTTGAAAAATGGTGAGGCGTCATCTTGAAGCTGCCCTGCCCAGCGGTGGCCTCTATTCGTTCCTGGCTTAGCTGTCAACTGTCTACATTCTACTGGTAGGGAGTCGCTCGACAGCAGAACACCTCAAGCATCTGAAGACCATCTTCAATCACTTGGCAGAGTATGGTCTGGTGGTCATTGTCAGCAAGTGTGTCTTCATGCAGCCCTTCCGTGACATTCCTTGGTCACAATGTCAAAGCCGCTGTCGGCGGCAGCATTGAGACACTGGCAGAGAAAGTCAAGGCCATGGTGGACTACCCTGCTCCAGACACTCACTCTGCTCTCTATCTCGCTTTCCAGGTTTGTTAAATCTCTACCGACGCTTCATCCCGGATTGTGCATGCATTCTTCAGCCGCTCTCGGATTTGTTAGCAGGCCCTCAATCTCCTGAGAACTGCTCGTCGCGAACGTCGCGATGAAATACATGAAAATGAATTCTGAATAACTAATTTGTATTTTGCATTACATGACGATGATTAACATTAGTGTTTTTGTATATACCATGACAATGATTGTACTCTCTTACTCTCTTACATTGTGGCTGATTCCACGCTTGGGTTAGCAGAATTCTGGTTCCCTATCTTCATTTCTAATGATTGACTCCATTTCACTTCAAAGTAGCTTTGAAGGTAGTCTTCGTTTCTCTAGTCTTTGCATTTCGTTCTGAAACAAATATCTTCGTTATGTTTTCATACCGTGAGTAGTCTCGCGCTCTTGATTTGTTTTGCTCGGGCATGACTTTCCTTTCTGTTCTTTTTGTTATGCATGACCATGATGACGTATTGGTATGATGTATATGTGTACGTGATCACTTGACCACGTGACTATGTGTTCACTAACTACAGAGTCTACAGACTCTAGCCTAGTGTAGGCTAGTGCACTTTAGCCATTCGCTCTCCTTGCTGTTACTTCTTCTCCGTTTCTATTTTGTCGCTGCACTAGTTCCTTTTTCCACCATTCCACGCCAATGAAAGTCGTGGTCGCCAATTAAATGCATGATCTTTGTGCGCAGCTGCCTGTGGATGCAGCTGCCCTGTTTCCGTTCCATTTGGATTTAGATTGAGAAAGAAACTTTCCAAATCATAAATGAAGAAACGTTGTTTGTAAATTAATAGCTAGGTTCCAGGGTACGATTTTCCATGCCCAAATCCGTATGGACGATACGGATTTTTCGAAGCGTACTTCATACGATTTTTCGGCACGGACAATACATGTGGACTGGCTTTCAAAATTAAAAATTAAATAAAATACCTCCCGTCCGCCCCGATTTCTCAGAAAAATCTGACGATAATCAATATTATTTTGCATGGCCTTAATGTGGGGCTTTGAATAAAACAAGTCGAGAAAAAATATAAACATCACTGTCTGAAACAGTGAAAGCCTAAGAAAGTTGTGGAATTTAGCCCAATGTACCCTCACGATAGATGCATTCAAGACTTCTATGGCGTGCTACAATGGTTACCAGGTATAACCACGAGGAGGTACCCACCAATTGTACCCAGAGCCTAGTTTTGCGGTGCCAGTTACCCGCCGCTCAGACCCCCAAATTTGTTACACTTTCTCCTCCGTGGAGAGAGTTGGTGGGACTTTGCATGGGTGCTGAAATCAGCCCGTAATGCAGCATTTAATCAGGAGTGGGAGCTCAACCCCACTCCCACTGTACCATACCCATACCTTTGAAAGTGTCTGCTCGTCAGATCCGCTCATCAAGAACTTACCGCCCGGGGGAAACAATCGGTTACCATTCTTTGCTGGGCTGGTGAGAATTAACGGATGATCGAAATTCCGGACCTTGTAGCACTTGAAATTGTTTTCGCGGTATGCTTCATCACGGTAATTTCCAAGGGCAATTCTTTCATGGTATATCTCAAAGGGAGTGGTTGCAAGAGGCCCACCGCCGATGACTCCCGGCGCGTACCGGCGATATGTGAACCAACCCTAAAGCACGATTCTTTCAAATATTAGAAATTAACTCGGATACTGAGCCAGAGCCAGTAAATATAATTGAAATAGAAGAAATCACATGGAAACGAGCTATGCAATAACTATCCACGACCATAACAAGATAATAAGTAGTCAGAAAGTGCGATAACAGGGCACACAACTGACAGGCTACTGAGACATTCCACGACCTGAGGACTTGTTGGTTTGCCCACTGGAGATGTGTTAAAGCCAGGCCTCAGGTCGTTGAATGGGTTAGCTCACTGGTGATATGTTAGAGCTAGACCTCAGGTCTTTGAATGTCTCAGTAGCCTATCAGTTTTGTGCCCTGTTATCGCACTTTCTGACTCAAATCTCTTTAAAAAATTGACGGAAGAATATCTGGTTTTTGCTTTCAACTCGAATTTTTGGTTGTATGTATGTATGTATGCATAACCCATAACCATTCAGGTCGTACGGGCGCCATGTGTGCCATAAGGCAACAGCGTCCAACAGAACAGAAAGAAAGAAAGAAAGAAAAAGAAAACTAAAAAAAACTTACTACACGTTTCATAGGGCTGCGACTATCGACTTGACCTTGGCGATGCCCATCTTCTCTCCCAGGCCAACAACCTACTGGGAGCTGAAATCTCCATCCTTTTTACCGGTTTGGGTTTTATTATGCTCTAAAAATGGTATTCACACTCGGGATACATATGGTAAATCTTGGTGTTTTGCCCCCTTGAACATTTTGCTCTTTTGCGAACTTTTAGCAACAATCAACAGTTGGCATTGCGTTAGTTTTGAACAATTTGTCAATACATGGTGCCTATGATTATGACTTGGTAGCTTTATGGTAGAGTATGGTATTACTTGAACAGAAATTTGACATGCCAATCTTTACTGTGAAGAAGAGGTTCGTGTGACTTTGGCGATAATTGAATAATTGTTTCTTGCTCCCTACGTGGGAGCTTGCGCTATTCCTGCCGACTTAAATTCTCACTTGACTGACTCACGACTGCCATCCAGAGCACACGAGAAGTCCACCGAACATTCCACTCGGCAAACCTGCCAGAAAGCACCACTCCCTGCTCAATACACAGTGTTTCGGGGAATTCACCCCTCATCAGTTGAGCTTGAGTAGGCTAAGAATATTCTGCCTAAAGAGTACCACTTCTATAGTGCTCTTCAGGCACAAACATAACCAAAGATACAAACTTACAGCGACGCTCCGTTTCTAGCGCGACAAACACCTCGTGAGCACCAGATAGCAGCGTGAGTCAGTGTCGCTCATGGATGTGCTGAACAAACGCTGAGGACCGTTGGCCATTCACAACGCTGTTCCCTCCACACCATCTAATTCGCAAGCCCGCGCTTGGGACAACAATGTGAAGAAGAGATTGGTGCGACTTCGGCGATAATTAGGGAATTTTGTGTGGCTCCCTACGTAAAAATAGAGGATCCGCACTCAAATCTTACAGTTTTTCAGTGAAATTCGGGGAAAGAATCGACGGTGAAAATATAGCTTTGTCGAAATGTACTCGCCGAATGTGTTATTCGGCGCAAAAATCAAGCTGCGAAACAGCACAGTCGCGAAATGTCATTCGATGAATTGACCACCTCGAAATGTCACGCGACGAAATGTCAATCGCCTAACTGACCGGATACCCGTGGGAGCTTGCGCTATTCCTGCCGACTTGAATTCTCACTTGACTGACTCACGACTGCCATCCAGAGCACACGAGAAGTCTATCTTTACTACCATCAACAACTGGGCACTGGGCTGAAAGAATGTGCACAGCTTCGAGAATCCTGGCAGACTTGGCCACATGCACTTTCCCTGCTGAGCCATCTGCTTGCCAGATGGCTCTCTTGCCTTGCTGGCTGACCGGTAGTCATCCCGCTCTGTGAAGCTGTCCAACGTAGCCGAGTACTTCAGCAGGTCGGCAGGACAGAGGATAGCCGTACGGATGATGCTGGTGAGGACTTCCACGTCTCCCTCAACGTGGTGGGCCCCGAAAGACAAATCAGGAAGCAACTCCTGCTGCAATGTGCCTACACTTTAGGACTTCAGCCCAGGTCGCGCTTCCTTCAGCGCCGGCAGACTGTCAGCAAACCCAGCGAATGCAGATTTCAACTCGTAAGACGCTTACTGAAGAATGAAGAATGACGCCAGCATCAAATGACAAGCAGTTGCGGGCCAGCAAGACTGGAGGAGGTGTGAACTCTGTCAGCCACTTAGTGAAGTCTGCATGAGCGTCTGACAAGTAACAAGAACTCACCTACACGAAAGAAGAGAACACAAAACACTTGATATCGGTGTGTTCATTTTACATACAGATTTCCATTGCGGCAAGGCCGTGACCAAATTAGTTTGTATACTTCTGTGAGAATCAATAACGCTAACTATAAGAAAGCAATGGACCTGAATACGTCATTCGGTTTACTCACACTACATGCTGTCAAAACTACAAAAAGATTTCCTAACCACCACCTAATCATCTCATAAGTGTATTGAATAAAATAGGAACTGACCTCCTTGCCATTCAGAAGCAGACTCTTCTTCCCGCCAACCATGTCAACTGTAAGTCCTGTTATGTCACTTGCACCCTTCCATATAGGTATCGTAAGCAGAATGTTCCTGAAAAACACCTTCTTGTCATACAAGTTGCTAGCAGCCAGTTGGGTGATTTCACAATCTCCGAAGCCGGCTGTTTCTAGGTGAAACACAATGATGGTTGCCAGACACGGGACAAGGGATGGCTCGACCTTAGCTGCGGAATTTCTTGATTGTCCACCGAATCATCAGATGTAGCACAGCCAGATGATTAGATCTACTGTGTGCCTGCAATAATCATGATAAGTCACAGTACCAAGGAAATATACAACTAGGCAAACGTGAGAAGTCAACATGTTACATTGTACATGTACATGTAATAACATTTCGAAACCATCCATAATGCATTACAAGCAAAACAAACCACGCTGTCAAACATTCAGATACATGTAACTGTAACAATCGTCACATATTTTTACATACCTTCTCGTATTTCTTGGCTAGCTTGAGTGGACGATCGGGCAAGGCGGTTCTCAATGCAACTGCTGGCGTACACCACGGTGCCGCGCCGGGCACGTTCCCTAGCCTTGATCCGCTTAGTACCCTTAGCAAACTTCTGTGTATGTCCACCAGCAGAGAGTCCAGCCTCCTTCATTACCTGAGGACTGAGGTACATACTGGGTGGCAATATTTTGCTGACCACTCTACAGCCGAGACAGCAGTCATAGCTCTCTGAGCCACCAAAATGCAAACGTTTTGGGGCAAGAGACGTGAAGGTGTTATTCAAGGCTTCACTGGCGTTGTAGCTAGCACAGGGAACAAACTTGTCAGTATTGTCTGCGTGTTTAGAAAACAGTTCAATGATGATGGTGTGGAGCTCCTTTACCTTCGCATAGAAAGACGCAAATCCACCCAATCAAGTAGACACTTCCTTCTGTCAAACGTTTTCTTTCCCTTCTCGTCAGGATAGTACAGGGAATGTTGGAAATTTGGAAAACACATAACTATATAGAGTTTGCAAAGAAGAAAGAAAGGAAAAAGTCAACACTTCAACATACAATGCAGGTGATAAATGATTTAAAAGTGTTGAAAACTCACCAAAAGAAAGCTGCAAGTTGTAGACAAACACGTTGAACACATCAGGAAACACTTGTCACGCTTTCACGAGGTGTGACACCAAACAACTGCAACGATCACACCGATATTTTTCATCGCCTCCAAAGTCCAAACTACCACCTAGGTTTGTATTTTTTTAATATAATGCAAAAATCATCACAGTATACTGAACAACACAGCATGAACGTTTCCATTGCAAAGTTGTACATGGTATAATATTACCCAATACTAGTTCAGAACTAGTATTGGATCAACCTTGTTATAGTGTCCTCCACCTTGTTTCATGCTGTCAATCTAACAATAAACTTGTACATGTACATGTATGGGTATTGTTTGAACATTTTACTTACAGTCAACTTCGCTTATAACGACACTCGGCGGGGCATCAGAAAAGTGTCCTTATTCGCGAAGTTTCGTTATACCCGAAGTCTCATTCTATGTATTACAGTTGGATGGGACTTTGCTCTGGGCATGGAAATCCTGTCGTTATTCGGGAATTGTCGTTATATCCGCAGTCGTTATTAGCCAAGTTGACTGTACATGTATTTCTTCTCGCTCCACACATACATGTATACTGGCACACACACATAGACATACATGTATACTGGCATACACACAGAGACATACATTGTACATGTAGACAGCAATAGCGACAACACACAAAGACGTACATGTAGACAGCAATAGCGACAACACACAGAGACATAGACAGCAATGGCGACAACACACAAAGTGAAAGGTAGTTGGCCGCAGCCAGATATGAACCGGATAACGAGTGAGGTGTGGAAACAAGGACTGAGAACAGAGTGTCTCAGATATAGAATAGGCGTGCCAGTGGATAGCAGAAATACAATTATGTAGGTCATGATGTAGTATCCAGTCACAGTGCCTTGCCAGTAGACCTACTCAGTACTACTACTGACTACTACTCTACTGAACTGTACTCTGTAGCTCACTATAACTAGTATAATACTAGTAGTAGTACATGACGATGTACATCTATTTTACTCTAGTTACGTCACGTGTATGTCATATGTACACGCACATGCAGTCACACGGTGTCCCGTCACTTCGGAGCGTGACGTCTCGTCGCGCGACATTTCGAAGCGGTCATTTCGAAGACAGTCAGTTAGGAACGGGGACACTTCGGAGTGTGTCAAATTCGGCGCCAGACGATTCGACGAGAACCAGTTCGGAGAATGGCCACGACATCGCCTATTCATTTCGTCGTCACAACCGCTTTTGCTGGGAAAAAAATCGCACTTCTTTTCGCCTGTTCATTTCACGACTCCCTGGTTTGAACTCTTCGCCTGTTCATTTCACGACTCCCTGGTTATAACTCTACACCTCCGTCCTTCAAAAGCAATGGCTTTTGCTGGGAGAAGAATCGCACCTCTTTTCGCCTGTTCATTTCACGACTCCCTGGTTTTAACTTTACACCTTCGTCCTTCAAAAGCAATGGCACCAGACTAATTACCACAGATTCTTGTCGAGGTCGACGATGGCTGAGGAACAACCCGACTATGTTGGCATCACAAGCCGAGGAAGACCGAAGCTGGTTAAATCCGTATAGTGTAGTATTGTATAGGTATTTTGTACATCAATGCAGTGACAGACTCACAGTCAAACCAAATTATTATAACAATGGCAGTTCTGTATCACGGGGAGTTGCAGTTCCACTTTTCTCACTGTCAGTGTCACTGCATGGATGTACAAAATACCTATACAATACTACACTATACTGTATTGTACTTTGAAGCAGTCGGTCTGTACTCTGTAGCTGTTCAGCTGTGGGAACATTGCAATGGCGCTTCGAAACGTCGGGGGTCCGAACTTCCCGGGTCCCAGTTGACGTGCGATGAGTTCTCGTGGCAGCGAAGTGACGGGTTTCGAAATGTGTCCGCGACGAGACGGTTCTCGACGATATGACCTCTTCGAACTGACGCTCGTCGAAATGTCCCGCTCCTAAGTGACGTAGAACCAGTCACACAGCTCATCAATGGGAACACGACAGGTCACCGCGAGACAGCTCACAGCGCGACAACTCACAGCCGACAGCTCACAGTGTCGTCAACTCACAGCCAAGACAACTCACAGCGCGACAACTTACAGCCTCGTCAACTCACAGTGTCGTCAACTCACAGCCTCGTCAACTCACAGTGTCGTCAACTCACAGCGAGACAAGTCACAGCCAAGACAACTCACAGCCACACCAACTCACAGCACGACAATTCACAGCCACACCAGCTTAGCAGTGTGGTTACTTTTCATTGATTGGCTGCTTCTGATATCACCCTGATGCCACTGCTGGAACATGCTCTGGCTATAAAAGCTCACAGTTGAACTTGAACAGAAAAAGATCGTTTTTGGTCATGGATGCGAGTGTCATGGGGAGATCACTATACCATGGATTCTTTACCAGATTACGTTACGAAAACGCAGCGAGGACGAGAGAAAGTAGTCTTTCGTGGATGTGCCTACGTGAAAGATAAAGACGGGCCCAGAGACATCAGTTACTGGAGGTGTGAGCGGAAGGACGAGCTCCATTGTAAAGGGAGAGCGAAGATGTCGGACAGGAGAATAGTGGCCTTGGTCGGTGACCACAACCATCCCGCAGAGGCTGAGAGGCAGGAGGCGGCTGCTGTGAGAGATGCCATTACTGTACATAGCCAAGAGACAGTGGAGTCAACGTCTCAAATTGTGAACGGCGCGCTAGCGGAAGCTTCGTTTGCAGTGGCCGTGCAGCTGCCAGACTCCAAGTCACTTAAGCGGCAATCGCAACGAGATCGCCTGCGGGTTCAGAACGTTCCGCCGAACCCAGGCACCCTGCAAGACCTCCAGCTTCCGGAGCGCTATCAAGAAACGAAGGGTGGGGACGTCTTCCTTCTCTACGACAGTGGACCGGAAACTGCGGACAACAGAATTATTGTGTTCTGTACGCAGGAGAACCTCGACATGCTTGACGAGTGTGGAAGCTGGTATGGTGATGGTACATTCAAGACGGTGCCTCGCCTATTTTACCAGCTGTACACCATTTCAGTTAAGAAGAATGGCTACTTCCTGCCGCTTCTATACGCTTTGCTTCCCAACAAGACCCAGCAGACCTACGAGAGACTTCTGGACGTCATCATACAAGCTAAAGACGGCATCCAACCTCAAACAGTGATGATGGACTTTGAGAAGGGTGCAATGAACGCAATGCAGATGAAGTTCCCAGACTGTCAAATGCACGGCTGCTACTTCCATCTCAGCCAGAACATATTCCGACACGTGCAGAGTGCTGGTCTTCAGGAGAGGTACACCACCAATGTAGCATTCGCCCTTGAAGTGCGGAAGTTGGCAGCCCTCGCATTTGTACCACTTGGTGATATTGTCGAATTCTTCCTTCACTTGGAAGACACGTTGTCGCCAGAAATGGATCCCATCCTGGAGTACTTCGAGAAGAGTTACATTGGTACCCTTCGGCACAATGGTCAACGCAGAACGCCACTATTCCCACCTCCATTGTGGAATGTCCACGACAGCACTCTACAAAATGAAGACAGAACGAATAACAGTCAAGAAGGGTGGCACCGCAAGTTTTCGTCTACCATCGACTGCCATCATCCCACAATCTGGAAATTCCTGGATGGCATTTTTGTCGAGCAGGCAATGATGGAGCAGTGTGTGGAGAGGGAAAATGCAGGTCATGAGGCTCCGAAGAAGAGGAGGAAGTATGAAGATCGGACAAGCGACTTCGTGCCATACTCCGGTCGTTTGAGACCAGGACAAAGGATGAGTTTCTACGAGGAGTTGCTGCGAACTTGGCATTTCATATAATTATGTGATTCTTACAGGAAAGTAGCATTGCAAAATTACTGAATTACTCTTTGCTACTGCCAGTTTCATCATTGACCCGGTATTCGAATACTTGTAACACAATTCTTCATTACCATTAGCAATAACAATTATAATATTAAAATCAACTACAAAACGTGTTTTGTCTACGCATGCATCTACGCAAGAATCACCACCAGTCAATTAGGACATGTGTCAAAAGTATTGAATGTTTTCGTTCCCTTCTTCTCAAAATACTACAGGGAATGATGGAAATAAGCTAAACGACTACAACTATAAGGAAAAGAAGTTCAGAAATACATCACTCCAATTATGTGTAGAAGTGACATAATTGGAGTGATGTATTTCTGAACTTTTTTTCCTTATAGTTGTAGTCGTTTAGCTTATTTCCATCATTCCCTGTAGTATTTTGAGAAGAAGGGAACGAAAACATTCAATACTTTTGACACATGTCCTAATTGGCTGGTGGTGATTCTTGCGTAGATGCATGCGTAGACAATACATTTTTGTAATATTTTCTGCTTCCGTCCTAGTTTCAAATATCAACTACATTCTTCATTCTGTTTTATCCGGGAAATCATTGAAGGTTCTTACTTATTGTTGGAAACATTTGTATCGGTTATTATTTCTCGATTAAAAAATAAGAAAGCTGCGAGTTGCCTCGCTGTGAGTTGTCGACACTGTGAGTTGTCGACACTGTGATTTGACGACACTGTTGTCGCTCCATTGC